TATATATATATTCATCATGATTGTGCTATGATCTTAGCTACATTTAACTTGCTTAGCTACATTTAAATGTCTTAATTACCCAATGTAGCTGCTGACTCTGTTCCTGTTTCGTCTCTGCTTGAAAAAATGATGCTAATGAATCAGCAATACCGTAATCTATTATACTTAAATAATTATTATTCGATGATACACATTCATTCGAAATAGCACATTTTTTCGTGGTTACATCTAAATGAAACTGATGATTACATAACTCATTTGTATGGATGTTCCATTTATACAAATAATAATCAAACGGATATGATGATTTAATGTAATTCCAGTTTTTGATTTCTTCTTTTTTCTTTCCAAATTTTGATTTAATTTTGAAATTTATACAATCAAAAATTATCTACATTTATTTTATTTCACATAAATTATGGTATAACTATTCAGCGTAACACTGAAACAGTTAAATCAAAATTAATAACTCTATCTCTCTCTCTCTCTCTCTCCCTCTCTCTTGTTTCTGTTTCTCTATACATTTTATTAGCAATAGGATATAGAATGTAAAATTTAAAAGAAAAATCAATTTTTCTGTTCTGAAAAAATTTACTAAAAGCATATCCCGGAAGGCATTTCATTGTTATCCATGAGCCCTGCAGACATTTCAAATATTCATTGCATATTCCACCGACTAAATGCTGAAATTTAATTTTTCTCTTTTTTGTTCTTTTTTTTTTTTAAGAAGCAATTTATTAAACTAAATCGATGAATCGTTTTGTTAGCATTTTTAGCATAATTTTCACTGCCTAAACAATTTCTTTTCTCTAGAAAAATCAACAATTTTCTAAAATTATCAAATTCTAAAATCATTAAATTAATTATCAGTTTTTCAAAAAAAATATCAAACACATTTAATTAACCAAAAAAAATTAAAATAGCATGAAAAATTCTTCTTAACCTAACCTGTCCATGAATACATTTAGCACGTTTGAATGCTATACAATCGGTGGTGTGATGACATCGTTTTAATTGTTGATTCCAAAAAGTGCCAACTTCACATTGATCATTTCTCCATCTTCCATCATCACATATCGCATAACTTTGGCAATTATGCGGATTAGCTATCGCGTCACCTTTATTGCATCTTTCTTCGGTATGTCGAAAGTTATTATCACTATAGCGACATGATTTGCACAACTCTACTATAATATTTATTACTTGAATATTAAATTATATTTCAAGCATTGATCTTCATCTATCCATGGAATTAATTCATAATTAAAATTACTCCTATATGATATCGATAAATAAGACAATTCCAATTAACCGTGCATTAACTTAATTTATTTCGAAAATTGATTAATGCAAATTATAACTGACAATCTAAATGAATCTAAATCTATTTAAAATTTTAAAAAAGAAAGGAAATTTTGAGTCAAAAAAAAAAAGAAGAGGAAATGATTACCAGCTGGATATGTCATACATGACATTTTATGCCACTTTCCACCGGAACACTGATAATAAAATTTACAATCAAAACTATCGATAACTGTACCTTCTTTACATAGTTTGCTCTATAAAAAAGAAAACATTAAAGTTCATATTTTTACAAAAACTCTATCCATTTTATTTATTTTTTTCCTAGAACTTCTAATTTTACTTGAGAAAATTATAATGAACTTAATTTCATATTTGAAAATTTGATTCTTCTTGAAAAATTTGAACTATCAAATTTTTTGCTATTAAATCTGATCAATTCCTCTTCTTCTCATCTATTTTTTTGATTTCAATTTTTGATAACAACTAACTGATGAAGATAAGCATTTATCATCAGAAATGCACAACCGTGTCCGACTGTTCCATCGATGAAATGGTGGACAAAAATGATGCTCAACGACACCTTTCGAAGAACAAATTAAGTATTCATTACATTTCAATTGAAATGATTGGCCTATTTTACATTCCTACAATAAATCATTTACTTTATAATGTTTGATTTTTTTCCGCAATAAGAATTTTGCTATAAATTTCAAATTACAGGAATTAACGAATGAATGTTAATTTATAGAATATGCATAAATATTTTAATTGAACGAAGAAGAAAGTATTTACAAATGGATGAGCACATGATGGATCTGTTCGACACGTTTGATCGGCTTCAAAATACATCATTCCAGTTGGACAGCTCTGATCCTCCCAATGACCATTTTTACAAACGGAATACTAAAAATAAAATTTTACTGATTCAATCATTTATTCTTTCCAACAACAAAACTCCTTTCACACTTTTCATCGATTTTCATCCCTTTCAATTTGAATACAGCAAAAAAGAGAAATGAAATATGAGATAAGAATCGAAATGCTGAAATTAACACTTCTCTTACTTTCATCTTTTACAATTATGTTATACGGCTAATTTGTTACCACAATAAAAAAACCTCAAATAGAATTGGTAAAAATGATAATTAAAAACGAATCACTAGCTTCGTTGCATGAATGAAGTGATGTATGTTGTTTCTGGCCATCTTGGCACTTCCAGCACTGACTACTGGCCTGATGTATCGGAATACAGCGATCGTTGAAGAAGATGAAACCTTCCGAGCAAACAAATTCCTCCGGTACCTCACCTCGACAATATATAAACTGTCGGTTGCACTGACCAGACGATACCATTCTCCATTTTCGATTCCTAAATTAAGCCTATTTTTAAAATTTCATTTTTTTTCTCTCTTAAACAAATCATTTCAAAATTCTAAAATGTGAGCAGAAAATAAAGAAAAAAATAACATGATAAGATGGAAAATTCTACAAATCTTGGCTAAAATAATTCTAACATTATTAAACTTTAAAAATAAAGCTATAATTGAAAAAGCTAAAATCTTATGCAATGCCCAGAATAGTAATTTCTTTCTTTGCATATTACGAAAAAATCTAAATCATCTTTTTCTGAACTTTTTAAAAACTGGAACTACTTGCATAAATCTGGCATTATGCAACGATCTTCAATATTTCGTTGCCTGCATTTTTGCAATTTTGTATCATAAATGAATCCATTTTCACAATAAATGATATCATTTATTAATTTGCCACATCCAACATACCTAAACATTTCTCGAATATTAATGAAATTATTGCTAAATTTTGAACATTCTTCGAAGAAGATTCTTCTTACATATATGAAAAGATTTTTTACTTCATTCAGAAAAATTTACAATTACTGCTTCAATTATATAGCGTTAAGATTTATTGTTAGCCAATATAACATAATATCAGTTTAAATGATAAAATTAATTCTATGCAAAATGCGATAATGTTTTTCAGTTTTTGCAACAATGCAAATAATTTTTTTAACTATTTAAATTATTGATGTTGAAATATTTTGCTCCAATAAAATCATTTTTTTTTCAACAAATTTCAATTAACTAAACCCTTGACTTTTCTAAACTCAAACGTTTAAATTGCTAAGCTTTAAGAGCTTCAAAAATCTAAAATTTTAAAAAAAATGAAAAATATGAGATAAGCAAATTCTTCTTTACCAGGTATTGCATTGAACCTGCGGAAGTATCATTACTTTGTAGTTTTGTTTTGTTACATATTGCTGATTGCAATACATTTCAATAGCATATTGCCTTAGTGGAGCAGATTGTTTCAGTGAAATTTTATCAGGTGCACAACTTGGTGGATAAGTAAAACAACCGAATGGTCGTTGTAACATTATCATTCCTGTTTCAGTAAAGCGTAGTATAATTAATGGAAGCAAAACGTAAAATGGAAAAAAAAATATTTTCACTTATAAACAAGATTAAGCAATAGAAAGCAGAAAAAATAAATAAATCGGAAAATTATATACATGACAATTTTAATACAAATAACAAAAATTTGCGCTTACCTGATAGACATAAACATATATGCTAAAAAAAATTTGTACTTACCTGGCAGACATGTAATTGCAAATCCTTCATTATGATTTTTGCATACATAAGCTTGTCGAGAACATATAATCTTTGGAAACATATATATTCCTGGGCCATCATCGTAGCAAAAATTCATTTCCTGTGACGATAAAAATATTTGCTAATGGTAAAAAAAAAAAATATTTTATTTGCTTACTATAAAAATTCATAATTTTTAAATTGAATAAAAATTTCCCTCAATTATTTAAAATAGCCATAAAGGTGTTGTGTAGAATTTTATCAAAAAAAAAAATTTATCTATTCTAGCAACTTTTTAAATACCTCAAAAAGTTTTTCTGTTTCAAAATTAATTTTTCCCATTCGTTTACTCCAAATACTTATGCAATTATTTCGTGCAACTTCACAAATTACTCCATTAAAAATCTGCAAACAAATAATGATTAGTGGGTAGTATATTTTTAAATTTCAAATTCCTTCATCAAAATTTGTGATTGAGAAATTTTGAGGTTTTATTAATTAAGCTAAAACTTGCGAATATTTTTAATTAACATTACTTAATTTGATGAACCTTTCCGATCGGACATTCCTCAAGAATAGCCGATATACAATGACCGGTTGAATTGTAGGAGCATCGAATATATGCATTGCTACATGCGCCAAGTGAAATCGATCTCTGTCCATTACAGATTTCCGTAAAAGCGATCCATTCCGGACCATTTGCAGTATAACCGTGCTGTTCTTGAAGATGTTATATTTTAGGTGAAAAATGTTGTACATTTCAAATTAATGAAAATTTTAATAAATGAATTTTTTAGAAATTTTATATTTAACAATATGGAATTTGATAAATCGAGCAATACTATGGATAACTTATCAAGTTATCATACATATCCATTCGATATGAGGTGAATATTCGATTCCACGAATTCCTTCCCTAGAAAAAAAATCAAATTTCAACAATTTTTTTTTAAATTTTAAAAGGATTGAATTTGAATTTTATTATAATTGAAAAAATTAATACAGAAATGAAATGGTTTAACTTTCGAAATATGATCAAAGAACTACGTTAAATGATAAAATTTTCTTTTTATTTTATTATCACAAAGTTTATTACTTATAAATTACTAGCGCTTTTAATCAATTATTGCCATAATGAAAAGCTTAAAATCTTCATGATGAATTGTCATGACTTAGTTATTCTATACAGTTTGCACAAATTAAGTTTAAACTTACTTAGCCTTAGTCTATTCAATTCATTTTATATAGATTAAGAAATATTACAACAGATATATTCTAGAAAAGGACATTTGAACTAAATATGAATAAGTTATTGACAAATTTTAACATTTCTGTCCACTTCTCTGTGATTTAGTTAATATTATCTTTTATCGATATGACAACTGTTGTTAATTCATTGGTAATTCCAATAATTAATAACTAATTCTCCCATTATCGATAGAATAAGAAGTTTGAGAAGAAATAAAATAAAATTTTATCATTTTATGATGTGATCCTTCATTGCATTTTCTAGTGGGGTGATTATCTTTGAGAAGAAATCATTATGTAATTAATACATTATACAATAATTATTAACTAAAATTTTGTAAAAAATTCGAATTTTTAGAATACATGGAGCTTTCCTGGAATCAGTTCCAATTTTTTTCAATTTTACTTGTCCAAAAAGAAAGTGTAAATGTTATTTTTAATCAAGCGGTCAAATTTCAAATTCACTACGATAATTTTTCAAGAAATAATTTAATTGTGTTACCTGAGGCAAATTTGATGTTGGATTACAGTAAATGAAGATAAATATGTGAGTTATTGATATAATAAATTTGTAATTTGTCATTACTTTGGCAATTTTCAACAAATATTTTTTAAAAAACACCTGTAAAATTTAAAAATTAAAAATTTTATGTAAGCGTATAACTTTTTCGTTTTAGATTTGGTAATTACAGCAAATCATATTAGCTTCATCAGAATTAGCGAAAAAAAAAAGAAAGATGATGGAAATTTCTTTGAGGAAATAATTTAACGGCAAAAATTGAGGTCTTTATATATGTCATCGGGTTCGTCAAAGAAATTAATTATTAAAGTTTAAGGGAAAGAGCAAACTATTGAAATGAACAAAGTTTGCTACCAAAAAAAGTCATTGACTTTAATGATTAAGCAAATATTTCTTCCAACGATTCGCTCTTTTTTTAAAGAAAAAATCAAAAAGTTTAATGATTTGCTATGATTTTCTTTTAATTTCCTTTTATTTTCATTAATGGTATTTTCTGAATGCATACCTTTTCATTTCCTTTTTAATTTCAGATATCCGTCGTTATCACTGTTAGCAATATTATATTAGCTTATTTTTCTTATCATTATTAATACCAAAGGCTAAATTCCCTCTCCGTTATTTAATTTTTCTTTTTTATCAGAAGATGATGCTAACATTGTAAATGAATTATTAAGGGGCAATTTTTAAATTTTCAAGTTAAAATGAAATATCGCAGTTAGCTATGACAAATAATTACGGTTACTCATCATCTTCCACTTTGTGACAATTCTTTTAGCATTATAAAAAATCCTTTTTAAAAAATTTTCATGATATTCCGAAAATGATCAAAAAAAAAGGGGGAGAACCAATATTAATTAGGAATGACAAATGTTAATCCCTTCAAATATAATGTATCATATCAATATCAGTTTGTTAAATCTCATTTCTTGTCACAGTTCACCATGTAAAACTGTCTCACCTTAGCATAGGTGTGTAATAGGCAATATTACTATCATTATATTTAATTGATCACATTTATCAGTGCTGTAAATCTCATTTCCCTTTTACAAACATCAACACAGAAATGCAAGGTCATTCCAATTGCATTCAATATAACCACTTCACCTTTCATATAAATTTCTCGTCAGACATTTCATTGTCATTTTTAAATTTTTCCCTCAACAATTATTTTCACAAATGATTACTTTCTTTAAAGTTATATTATTTAAAAAGCAAAAATTTCGAGGTCTATTTTTCTTTCTTTCTGCTTCAAAATTTACTTTTCTTCTTCGTCATTATTTATTTATAGCGCTTAAATTATTTAAATCAAATTTAGGAATTTATAATTTTGCTTTTTGGATAATTATAAATACATTTTAATTGCAATATTAATTTGGTCATTTGAAAATTTCTCAAATAAACTCACTGAAGCCTCATTTGTCATTTATCTTATATGAGTGAACACAAATTTAATAGTCAATTTTAACATAGCTTAGTTTCTTTTTTTTTTTGCTTATACCACTAAAATTTTACATTTTTAATAATTAAGAGAGAAGTTGCAATTAATTTAGTTATTTCAAAACTTTTTAATTAAACTTGAGATGTCAATGATATGTGACAATGTTTTCTTACCTGTTGTGCAGTTATTTTTCTCATCCCTTTCAACTCGCTGTGTAATGTTTTTCTTTTTTTTTTGTAGCAAATGATTATTTACATTACCAGTAGTAATCAATTGAATTTTTAAAGAAGTAAGCCTTCATTGCACATCTTTCCTTTCAAAATTAACAATATACCTGAGAAAGAGAATGAAAGAGGATGAGAAAGAGAGGGAGAGAGAGAAAGAGGAGAGAGAGGGATGAATTTACATAGCCTCACAAAATGCATCTTTTTTTTTTTTATAATTGCATCGTACATGCGTGCGTGTGTATTAACAAAGCAAAATTTTATACGGAAATTTTTGTTAACGAATAAATAAATTGATAGTTTAAAGACAATGAAATTGTTCTTTTCTAAATTTTTCATTCATTCATTCATTTCTTTTATTCTCATTCGATTCCATAAAACGGAAAAAATGACCCAAATTTTTTGGTATTTTTTTTTTTCATTTCCATCTTCCTTTTTTTTTCCTTGCCAATTCTACGAATTTTATATCAGTCGTATAATGTTTGCTTAATGATGTGACATTGTTCATTTAGTAAAAGGAATTTTAAGGGCCATCGTGCATTTTTGTTTTCTTTCTTTTTGATATTCGTAACAAATTACTTTTAAAACATTCGCATTGGTTGATGTATTAAAAAAAGGAAAAAAAAAACAATACCTTCCAGTTTAATTCACTTTCATTGCTAAAGGAAATTTGGCCAAAATTGGAAACAAAATGAAATACTAGGCTGCAAACATAGTAAGAGATATTTTTTGCTCTTAAAATTTCTCTATCACCGACAAAATGTATGCAAATTTTTGGATTCCAATAAATAGCATTTATTTTCATTTGATGTTTATGC